CTACTAGCTATTACTGGCAGCTTGGTGGAAGTCATCATATACAATTCTGATTGAGTTACAAAATTCTCTGAAATATTTCAGTAGCATGAAAAGGAGAGTTTCATTAATTGTGTTGAAAGCAAATATCATTCTTAAGGAAATATTTCATATTTGATAGATTTTTAGTTAATAATAGAATAACTTCAAGTCGATTTTCTAGTTGGTCATATTTTAATTATGGAATGCCCGATGGACGTGCAACAGCATAAACCATACGACGACACCGCGGGAATAGATACACAAGAAAAGGCAGTACTCGGTCTGAAACCATCAGACACTTCGCAAATAGATACAACAAAAATAGCAGTACTCCGTCTAAACCATCAGACACTTCGCAAATAGATACAACAAAAATAGCAGTACTCCGTCTAAACCATCAGACACTTCGCAAATAGATACAACAGAAATAGCAGTACTCCGTCTAAACCATCAGACACTTCGCAAATAGATACAACAAAAATAGCAGTACTCCGTCTAAACCATCAGACACTTCGCAAATAGATACAACAAAAATAGCAGTACTCCGTCTAAACCATCAGACACTTCGCAAATAGATACAACAAAAATAGCAGTACTCCGTCTAAACCATCAGACACTTCGCAAATAGATACAACAAAAATAGCAGTACTCCGTCTAAACCATCAGACACTTCGCAAATAGATACAACAAAAATAGCAGTACTCCGTCTAAACCATCAGACACTTCGCAAATAGATACAACAAAAATAGCAGTACTCCGTCTAAACCATCAGACACTTCGCAAATAGATACAACAAAAATAGCAGTACTCCGTCTAAACCATCAGACACTTCGCCAAGATACAACATAAATAGCAGTACTCAGTCTGAAACCATCAGACACTTCTCAAATAGATACAGCAAAGATAGCAGTACTCCGTCTGAAAGTATGGAGACTTCTCATTCACGAAACTGGTTGAACAGAATGTGGTTTTCTTCGTTTATTCTTTTTTGATGGCATCAACTTTTAAAATTTATTCTATCCCTTAAAATAGAAACAAAAACAGATGATGCTATTTATAAGGTAGTCATGCCAAGTGGACGTTAGATGACCATCCCTCTTCTGCTTCTATTGGTTGTCGTGGGCGACCACTGTCTGTGAACAACCATCTAACCAAACAGGTCTCTTGGACAGGAAAAACTTGCTGTGTAGAATTAGAATTTGGTGCTTGCCACAATTGTTTGGAATTTGATCATGAACGTCACCTTACAACAGTATGAAGTTCTCACTTCAGTGTATCCAGTGAACAACACTTGGATACAATCAATAAATTTCAATACATGCATGTTTGTGAATGTTTTTGAGAGGGAGCTCATCATGTTGATTATTACTGTCTATTGAAGGTACTAGGGTCACTGATCCATTTAGACATGCAGCTGAGGTTAAGCAATATTCACAAAACCAAAAGATTGAAGAATTTCCCAGCCTAGTACACAGAAAGAATGGTTGTGTGACTGAATCAAGATGTTTACTGACCAACAATAAGAAAAAAAAAAAGAAAAATGCTCTTCCCACTCTCAATATTGATCTTTTTTCTTTTATCTTATTTCACATATTTATTTTCTGAAAAGGTGTTGTGTTGAAAACAATAAACCAGCTGTTATTTGAAAACTTAATATAACATATCACCTTTAATCACCATGATTGTTCATTCCATCTGTTACAGATGCTACTTAAGACAGGAGTTCATGGTAATACTCGCGTTTCTTTTAGACATTGCTGTTAGTGTTTTGTCACAAACACAAAAGTGTGGATTATTATAACATAAGGAATGAAAGAATTGTTATTTGGAGGTTCATTTTTCACAATTTTTGAGGAATGAGTACAATTTTGAAAAAAACACTACATTACAATTATTTCTTTTAAAGAAAATCATTGTCCATTTGATGACTTCTGTGAACAGCAAATGTTTTTTGGTTCGAAGCTTTTACTAAAACTGTAAAATAAGAGGCCCAGTGGGTCTGCATCGCTCACCTGGAATTCAATATTTATCAAAAACAGAATGAGATATCTTCACAAACACATGAACCCCTACACGATTGACTTTCAAAGTGATCACATCCAATCAATTTTAACCAATTACAACAACAGCTTCTAATACTCAACTCTAAACAATGACAGTTATGACCTGGATTATAGTTAAATGTGTTTTTTTCTCTCAAAATTTGTCGGGTTTTGACCTAGAAACACTTTTCCCCTAAATATGCTGCTTCTCGGTCTTTTGGTTTACCAGAAGTCTTTTACAGGTTTTGACAATATGACTCCTATGACCATGAATAACGTTCAAGGTCATTTCTTTTTTGCACACTTTGTCAGGCATTATCCCAGGGACCTTGCTACCAGTCAAATATCATATTTCGGGTCCATCTGGTTAGTCTGAAAGCAAATTGACCCCCTATGACCTTGAATAAGAGTCAAGGTCATTTTTTCACAAGCTTTGTCAGGCTTCAGTGATTCACCAATCAAATAAGATGACATTTGTTTGTTGTTTTTTTTTTTTGTTATTGAGAAGTCGTTTAAAATGGAAAAGTTTACATCAAACAGACACACATCAAGGCAAAAGCTCATTTGGTCCTGGTGAGTTAAAAATTGAAGTATCAAAAAAGCATTCTTTTGCTTTTTATTCAAGCTGAGAAAATATGGTACATACTACCCTACAGGTATGTAGCCAATGAAAGAAAAGTTTGTATCGCTTTTTCAGATTTCATATAGTACCACTGACAAGCTGTTTTTCTTTCACATTTCAAAGAAACAACAATTACATAAACATTGCAACATTTATTTCAAAAATCGCTCCCAACAACAAAACTGTCATCAACAGTGATATGTTTGTAATATAAACTCCTTCTATTTCGATGTAACAGTGACTTTGTATGTTTATTTCTACCTAGTGTTACCTTTGTATTCCCAACACTGATCTACAATCATAGATCTACAAGACTTTCGTCAGTCTGACTCGCCGTCAGTCTCACCTCTCATACCTTTTGATGTATAAATATTCATTCCCTGTAATGATTACTTATATAAATGTTACTTTTGTAGGAAATAGTTTGTGTCACACAAGATATGTATAACAAAAAAAAAAGTCAATTTTATACCGACATCAAATTATTGTTCTATAAATGTCCAATTATCACTATAAAACAAAGAAATAAATAAAAAAAACACTGAATATAGATATAACGTGGAAACAATATTTAGATAAGCCCCTTCCAGACAAACATGAAAAACTTCGGTAATTCAATGTTCTCATGATAAACTGAATCTTAACTCATTCTTTTTTTTTCAATTAATTTTTTTTTTTTGAGTCTACTGTATTTAAGATTTCAGATCAAGGATTTCAATTCTTAAAAATAGATCATAAAGATATTTTTCACTAATTTATCGTTCAGCTGTCTTTCTGATCTTGTCTGTGACTGCTGATGGTGTCACCATTTAACAATTTATATAAGATACCACAATGTTTCTTACAATACTATATGAGCACATTATAACCATATTGCTACACTGAAAACAGTCTTGATATCTACTAAAAATATTATAACAACAAAAATATATATCTAGCATCTGTTTTCACCCACAGATGAGATAAAACCACATTGAACACTAAATCAATAAAAAGTAAGGAAAAACATCCACTTTTAACAACATCAGGAGAGTATATGTTTGTAAGTAAGATCAAATGAAATCACAAGAAAGATATAAGACAGAAGGACTTTGTTTAGGGGCAGATTATAAAACCTATTCTTAATTGACAGGCTATATATATATATATATTGTAGGTTTTTATCAATACATCTGTTTATATCACAAATTAACTTGTCGCATCACATCAAATTTTAAAAAACACGACTATCCTTAACATCTGATATACAGGAATGTTGATGTTTCCTTCCATGGAAAATTTAAATGATTTTATGAAATGAGCAATTCATTTATCACAAATTCATAAAGATAGCATGAAAGAAAGAAAATAAAAAAAATTAGAATATGATGAAACTAAAGTTTGAAAATATTAAAACAATAGCAACTGTTTACCTCTCTCCAAAAACAAATCTCACATGCAAAAACAATAAGAAAAAGTAAACAATTTATGTACCAAGGAAAATGAAATAACAAAAATAAAAGACAAATGTACATTTTGGTAGGTATACAATTCATAATGACTCAAACCAAAAATTTGAAAGCATTCAGAAATTATCAATATCAAAACTTGGAATAAATATTTCTATTTTTTTTTTTAAATCAGTCCTGTACGTTTTATACATAAATAAGTTTTGGAAAAATAAAATCCTCTCTGGATATATTGGGGTAAGGTAGAAACATTCATTGCACACTTCCATCAAAATGAACATTGTTGACATCATACTGGAACAGTACAGTGTCAGTCAGGAACATCCTCGAAACCAAAAAATCATGTTTATACACAATCTGGACATCAACTAGGTGTTTTTAAACTTGAATATAAATAGTATTCTTAATGTTCTAAATTGACCTCAAAAAAATAAGAAAATGGAACGTATTTTAAACAGAAAACCTGGCATGATCAGCCTGAACAATTATTGAAGTCTATAACTTTTCTATAATTAATGCTTTAATCAAAAGTTCTGTCTGAATGTGAAAACTGTTATTCAAATTCACCGAGTTAGAAATACTTGAGTAGTCTCCCCTTAAAGAAGTGTATCAAGTTAATATTAGAAGCTAATAAAGAGCTGTCCAACTCTTCATGGACTGTATGACAACCCATGTGGGATTATCAAGCATTCAATTAATTTTGGCAGGTAGTCTTTCTCGCGGGTCTTCCTGTGTTACCTTGGCGAAGTTTTCTTTCACAGGGTCTGAACCCTTCATTGCAATGATTCGTCATCACACTATTGTGTTCGGAATGTTTTTTTTAAATTTGGTTCAAAACGGCACAATTATGATGACTGATACATTTGCACATTCCAGTCTCCTTGACAGACAACATAACAAACACCTTCACAAGACACCAAGGTCACACCACTCGCTTAACACCAAATCTTCATTTGACCTTGAATTTTCAAGGCTTGCGTCACATCCTAGCTGAGTGGTCCCCAGTCCTGGCACAGAACACACAGGTCCATGTTTGAAGGACTGACCCTAGGCAACCTGTAGGTCACTGTATCTCCAACCATTTCATTACCCTAAACAGTGTCAAGTCCTCCGAGGTTCTAACTTGTAAGAGAATTGCGTTAGTAATCTCTGGTTATCTATCACACGAAGATTTCTGGAATAGTAAAACCATTACTTACTACCACAATCTTTATAAATGGAAAATCATCATAGTTTCTTGATGAGTCAAAATAAAAATGCACTAAGCATGGGTTGAATACTTGGGGGTATTTTAAACATATTTTGAATTTCAAACAAGTCTAAAGAGATAAGCTGAAATTAATTTTCTGTCAAAACATTTTAGAAGTTTGAATTCTATCAACTGATTATCATGCAGGTTAGTTTAAGTTATAATTGAAACTTACTTTTGAGTTACATAACAAAAAGCTCCTACAATCTATAAATTCCCCTGTGTCTAACAACATAGCAATCCTTTAGGGAGCATAAAAATGTATTTCTTAAACCAGTATATTAATGTAGGAGAAAAATAACAATACATTTGAAACTTACCTGATGTACTCAATAACTTCTGATGAACACTTCAACGACGTTGGTGCATCCAAATCTAGAATTTCAACAATACATATACCATTAAATTTGATTTCTACAAAAAATAGAAAATGTAATTGAATCTTTCTGCTTCCATACATAAACTTAAGTTCATATGAAAGTACTATTGTTTGATCAATCTGCAGAAGCTGTCACAATGACCTTGCACCTTTAACCTTGACCTTTGATCACTTTGATATGATACTGTGTAGGATATAATGTTATGATACTATAGGGTAAATATGAGCCAAATGTGAGGGGAGATTCTCAAGATGTGACTCTAATTAGGATCAGGACACAACAGAACATGACAGGACAGGATGGACGGAGAACCTTGAAACTCTATATGTCTCCATAAAAAGGTTGGAAATTCTCCAAAATGTACTGATAATTCCCTCTTTTCTTATTCTTAAACACTCTTTCTTCACTGTATTGCAACATTTGTCACTGATTATACAGAACATGATACAGCTGTATAGACATGCTTTATCATGGAATGGAAAAAATTACCATAGGAAGTTACTTAGGTTGATTATAAAGAATATGACACAGCTGTATAAACATACTTTGTCTGGAATGGAAAAATTTACAATAGGAAGTTACCCAGGTACCCAGCGTTACAGGTTAGGGTGAATTTTTGACAGGGGAAATTACTCTGTATAGTGATGTTTAAAGATAAATTGATTTAGGAAAAGAAGGACACAAACCTAACTGCTGACTTTTACAGAATCGTACAGTTCTCATAGTCTGGGCTATCATGTGCTGCAATGAAAAATAAACATGTTAGGTCAAAACAAGAGGCCCAGAGGGCCTGTATCGCTCACCTGGATCTTTATGACCAACAGTACTATATCTGTGCATATGTTCCACGTTTAAACACATTTGACCCCTGTGAACTTGACTATGGGTCAAGGTCATTTCTTTTTGCAAACTTTCCTTTGGGCCAGGTGAGCTAACAAATGTGTTTACTGAATTTATGTTTCTAGTATATATAAACTATTTATTTCAAGTTTATCAATTATATACATAAACACATTGGTCATGTACCTGTAATTTTAAAAGTCTGGGATATTGAAATTGACCATCACAATATCTCATTTTAAAAATCACAGTTGCAATAATTTACTTACCATTTTTTCAAAATTCACCAATCCATCAAAATAAGTTTTGTTTCCTTCGTGAGTAAATGTTAAATCTGTAACCAAAGACATGGAAAAAAATCTAAAGTCTTCCAACATCTTCATCTTCTCTCAATGGTATCTCTCTCAACAATGGGAACCATAATGGTATCTCTCTCAACAATGGGAACCATAATGGTATCTCTCTCAACAATGGGAATCATAATGGTATCTCTCTCAACAATGGGAATCATAATGGTATCTCTCTCAACAATGGGAATCATAATGGTATCTCTCTCAACAATGGGAATCATAATGGTATCTCTCTCAACAATGGGAATGGTATCTCTCTCAACAATCATAATGGTATCTCTCTCAACAATGGGAATCATAATGGTATCTCTCTCAACAATGGGAATCATAATGGTATCTCTCTCAACAATGGGAATCATAATGGTATCTCTCTCAACAATGGGAATCATAATAGTATCTCTCTCAACAATGGGAATCATAATGGTATCTCTCTCAGCAATGGGAATCATAACAGTATCTCTCTCAGCAACAGAAACATAACAGTATCTCTCTCAACAATGGGAATCATAATGGTATCTCTCTCAACAATGGGAATCATAATGGTATCTCTCTCAGCAATGGGAATCATAATGGTATCTCTCTCAACAATGGAAATCATAATTGTATCTCTCTCAACAATGGGAATCATAATGGTATCTCTCTCAACAATGGGAATCATAATTGTATCTCTCTCAACAATGGGAAACATAACAGTATCTCTCTCAACAATGGGAATCATAATGGTATCTCTCTCAACAATGGGAATCATAATGGTATCTCTCTCAACAATGGGAATCATAATAGTATCTCTCTCAACAATGGGAATCATAATGGTATCTCTCTCAACAATGGGAATCATAATGGTATCTCTCTCAACAATGGGAATCATAATGGTATCTCTCTCAACAATGGGAATCATAATGGTATCTCTCTCAACAATGGGAATCATAATGGTATCTCTCTCAACAATGGGAATCATAATGGTATCTCTCTCAACAATGGGAATCATAATGGTATCTCTCTCAACAATGGGAATCATCTCTCTCAACAATGGTATCTCTCTCAACAATGGGAATCATAATGGTATCTCTCAACAATGGGAATCATAATGGTATCTCTCTCAACAATGGGAATCATAATGGTATCTCTCTCAACAATGGGAATCATAATGGTATCTCTCTCAACAATGGGAATCATAATGGTATCTCTCTCAGCAATGGGAATCATAATAGTTCTGCAACGAAAACATTTCAGTATCTCTCTCAGCAACAGAAAACATAAACAGTATCTCTCTCAGCAATGAAAACAGAAGAGTATTTCTCTAAGAAATGAAATTTTGTGTATTGCTAAGTACAACCAGAAAGCAAAGTCACACAGAAAAATCACAACATCAGCAAAAGACGTCCACAAAAATAAAAAAAAAAGACAAGATGAAAAATATTCAAAAGGTCTTAACATAAATTTTAAGATCTTATCTGAACTTTGAAATTTACTGTATACAACTGCTCCACCATTAGTCTCCTCTACACACAACACTGTGTTGTAAATTTTCACTTGTTGAATACTGACCTTTCATCAGAAGAGGCATAAATGGGATGATGGGTGCGGCAAGTTTAGCCACAGTCAATCTGTATACACGGTGATTCCTTGAGGGGTCCATCAGTGTCTCAAATTCAGCAAACATCTTCTTAAACTTACTGGGCAGCTTCTACAGCACAAAACATTTATAAGTGTGTAGAGACAAGATTTTTCATCTTAATAATAAATCAAGACAGATAATATAAAAACTACAGAGAAATTAGTAAGTTTAAATGGTCCTCAGAATCTCTTATCTAACCTGTGAATTTCGATGTCCATAAATGAATTTTAAAACTGTTAAAATTTATACAAGTAGCTTTTCAAACAATGTCTATCAATTAAATAAAATGTCTATGTAACAGTAATTATTGAAAAACCAGGAAATGGGCATTCTGAGAAAATTTTGTGATTTCACAGGATCTAAAACCTTTATTATACATAACAAGAGATCCCAGACAAATCTTGGTGCCCACCATTGTTTGATCTTTATTTGCTCTTTGAAAGTTGGATCTTTTCCCTTCTTTTCTCCTCTGGTTTTGCTCTTAATGATACAAAATTTGAACATTTCTTTGTAGAAATAGCAAAGGTAATCTTTACCTGCCAAGTCCAAAATGGCCATCTGGAAGCTATTTTGTTTATTCTGATCAAATCTCAAAATCAAACAGACATAAATATAGTCCAGAGGGAACATGCATATGAAATTTGAGAGAGATCCATTCAGTACTTCTAAGAAATAGGCCATTTTGTTTTTCTGATCAGTCCTAATATTAAATGGGCACAATTGAAGACCAAGGGGAACATACATATAAAATTTGAAAGAGATCCATCAAGTGCTTTTCAAGAAATAGCCATTACAAAGTTCATTGAAAAAGTCCTACTGTCTGGCATTTTAATTTTCTGATCAATCTCAAAATCAAACGGGCACAATTAGGGACCGAGGGAAACCTATATACGAAATTTGAGATAGATCCATCCAGTACTTTTAAAGAAATAGTGATAACAAAAATTGTTTACAGACAGACGGACAGATGATGAATGGACAAACAACAGACAGACGACAGGCTGACCACGGACCACAGATGTAGGGTGATTTGAATTGCCCACCATCTGATTGATAATGGTGGACTTAAAAATAATGTTTGTTTCAAACCAAATTTGATAGGTGTGCCATTTCTACAGGTCTACATTTACATAAAATAATTCTGCCAAGTGAGTTACCTCCCATGTCTGTGACAACCTGCTGACAGCAATGTTACTAAGTCCCATCACAATGGCAAAGAATGAGTTTAAATTCTGGTACTCCTTACAGCTGTAAATGATATAAACAAATAAACAGTCACATCTTCTTTAGAAAGATAAATCCAACAATGAAGTGCACAGTTAGCTTTTATAATATACTGCAAACAAATGATAAAACCTCAATTTTATGTAGTAAATACTGTCAAACCTCGTTATCTTGAATTCGGCAGGACCATGAGAAAACTTTCTGATAATCATGTATTCGATTTAAGTGAGTTCGAATGTTTTGTGTAAAGATAACAAGGTTCTACTGTATGCACATTTTTCATAATTTACATGCTAGATATACAGTTGATACATCAACAGGTGTTGGACTGACATTGATACATCTCCCATGAGTATTTGAAAATGAACACAAGGTTGAGGTGCTAGATAGCTATATCTGACCTACGACCTTGGTTGAGCTGTAAGATAGCCATATCTGACCTATAGCCTTGACTCTGGACCAAGTTCTGTGCACATCTGCTGCTCAACTCACTAAACTTTTAGTCAATATAAATGACATTAACAGAAAAGACGTTAACTAGTTTTCAAATCATCACCAACCCACCCTTAGACACATACCCAAGACTGACAGATAACAGACAAAACCATAAGTACACTCTGCCACAAAAGTCAAGAAAGACTGTCATGAAACAACATAATAACAAACATGTCCAACAATCTGAATTTTTTAAAATTCAAAATAACAGTGACCTTGACCTTAGAACTTGGGATATAAAAAAAATATCCCAAGCAAGCACTTTTGGTAAGGAAGCATTGTAGGAAGTTTGATTTAGATTGGGCAAGCCAACTCTAGTTATCAGACAGAAACTGATTTTAACTCATAGTTACAGTGACCTTTAACCTATAGACCTGAATGGCAATCTATCTAAATTAAACACTTTTAGTAAAGAAGCATTGTATCAAGTTTGAGTTAGATTGGCTACCGCAAACTCAAGTCAGTCAACAAAATAAATTTTCCATTATTGCAACAATACCTCAACCTTTGACTTCTGGGTATGAAATGTAATCCCTCGCAAACATTTTCAATAAGAAATCACTGCATGGAGTTTGAATTTCTTTGGCCCAAGGGAATCCCAGTTACATCACAGAAACTAATTTTCTTCTTAGAGTAACAGTAATCTGGACCATTGACCCTGGGACTCAAAAGCGATCCAAAGCAAGCCATTTTAAAAAGGAATCGTTGTATGAGGTTTGAGTTTGACTGGCCAAAGCAAACTTGAGTTATAGCAGGGAAACTGATTTTTCTATTAATAGTAACAATAACCTTGACCTTTGACTTTTGAAGATGAAAATCAATCCCATGAAAGCATTTTCAATGAAATTTGAGCTTGATCGACCCAAGGAAACTCAACTTATATCATAGAAACAAAAGTGCTGATGGACAGATAGACAGAAACTGTGAATACTATAGGGCAGGAGCACTTTTGTACGAGGCCCTAAATTTGACTCAACTGTACATGACTCCGAGGCAGTAATCATACTCTACACACTTAGTAATTGTAGGAGACAGCTGAGTGTTACTCGGGTGAAAATATACAAAGACAGACATTCTGCGCGACTTAAAATTTAATTTTATAAAATTATAAAAAAAAACTTAGAAGTTTATTTAGTAACTTCACATGATAAAATCTACAATATTTTTTACAATTCCTAATGGTAAATGAAGATTATAAATTTGAACTCTGAATTTCGTTAGTGTTCATCACTCACTGAGATGCTAGCTTGATGAATTTCCTCAGCAGCTGTACCCGTTTACTGACATTCTGGGCTAGTACCATTTCTGTGATGACCCAGAACTGGACTTCGTTGAAGCGACGTAGCAGCACGTCTAGGTTTGAGGTAATCTTGCCAAAAGTGTGGCGACCAAACACTTGATAGATGAGCTCATACTGCAAGATCAAGTAACTCAAAATCACAAATTTTTCTTTCTATAAAAGAAAATTTTTTGGATAAAAATGAACCATGCACCAACAAAATGAAATATGAAACAAGAAATTATGATGTAGTGTTATATTCCGATTTTGATCTTACCTCGTCCACATAGACCAGCAGTTCCCAGTCATACAGTGTCATGTAATAGGCTACTTCTTTTGTGCTCATCATCTCAAACACAGCCATGGTGCCTGTTGTAGGACCATCCTGTTCTGGTAATGGTGTCTGTCATACAAACATACAAATTACAATCATACAGAGGTCATACAGACATACAAGTATTACAACCATACAGAGGTCATATAAACATACAACCATACAGAGGTCATATAAACAAACAACCATACAGAGGTCATATAAACATACAACCATACAGAGGTCATATAAACATACAACATTACAGTTATACTGGGGTCATTCAAACATACAACCATACAGGGGTCATTCAAACATACAACCATACAGGGGTCATACAAACATTCAACCATACAGAGGTCATTCAAACGTACAACCATACAGAGGTAATACAAACATACAATCACACAGAGGTAATACAAACATACAATCATACAGGGGTCATACAAAATTACAATCACACAAAGGTCATAAAAATTACAATCAAACAAAGGTCATTGAAAATTACAATCACACAAAAGTCATCGCAAATTACAATCACACAAAGGTCATATAAAATTACAACCACACAAAGGTCATAAAAATTGCAACCACACAAAGGTCATAAAAATTGCAACCACACAAAGGTCATAAAAATTGCAACCACACAAAGGTAATAAAAATTACAATCACACAAAGGTCATAAAAATTACAGCCACACAAATGTCATAAAAAATTACAATCACACACAGGTCATACAAACATGAAAATATTGCCTGCTTTTTTATATTCTTTTCTAGTAATGAGGTCTGTCATACAACTATTACAGTCTGTACAAACACATGTTTATGTTTGTCATTCAACAGTCTTGTAAAGAACAGAGCAGCTATAATACTTACCAGTGCGTCGATGTGTTCCCGGGGGGCAATGAATAGTTGTCCATTCACACTTAAAGAAGTGGTGATACACAAGTCGTTGTCTTTCAATATCAGACGTTCTGAAAATAATTATATCTTACACAGTTTTTTTATTCTTATACAATTCTGCAAACTTTTCAAAGAATGACAATGATTTAATCAATTCATTTTGTTTTGTTGTAATTATCGCCCCTTGAACAGCCAGGGCTCTTTTGACGAGGGGTCTCTTTGTAATAACTAGCAGCTACATCACTGAACAACATGCATGCATGTAACACATGTCATACAAAGTTATTGGGGTAAAGTGTCCAAAGATCATAACCATATCAGCACAGACCAGTCTGTTTCTCAGCTTCCTTAGAAACACAAACCATCACAGGTAGGGAGCAATGAACCACACACCTCAAACCCCGACTTTAGTCAAACTATGGTTTGTGTCTATCATGCCTGAACATGATGAATTTTCAAAAACAGATTGACATTTCTGCATATTTAACTTACATGAATTCATCAACAGGTTTCTAAGTAAACTTAACATTATATTAACATGAATCAATATACCATTTACTACCAATTCACTCCCAACAACATTATTTGATAGAACTCTACAAGAGTGGTCTCCCTTCCTATAAAAATGTGATGAAGACTCCACAGTGCCCTTCCTTAGAGACTTGCTAGAGATTTCATCACTGTGTCACATAAATGTAATCAGAATGTAGTCAGAATGCATGATATCATTGTGTAGGATTAATCAAATTCTAACTCTGTTTCAAATACAATCGTATCTACAAAAACCAATCATGATAATATCAGTAATAAATCAATATACGATCAAACCCTTATACAGAAGCAGCATGTCCATAAAAGCCACTTTTTTGAATCCCTAAGTAAAACGTTTCATAATAATTAGAACCTCTATATAAACACCACCTGTGTATAAAGGCCATTTTCCTTATACAGAAGCAGCATGTCCATAAAAGCCACTTTTTTGAATCCCTAAGTAAAACGTTTTAAACTTCTATATAAACACCACCTGTGTATAAAGGCCATTTTCCTCTGCTTCCTTGTTTGGCCTCTGTAGACAGGTTTTACTCTAATATTGAACAAATTTATGATGTTGGAGTGAAATAAACCAGATATATCATATTCCTATAAGTAACTGCATGGACATGAGGAAAAACAATTGTTATTTTGGAAAAGATTTTGATTTTAAACTTATCTGCCAACCTACTGAGGTCTGAGGCAAAGTGATGATGAAAATTCCTAAAGACACTCCGTATCAAAAAAATCGTGATCAGTGAACATGACTTTCAGACCAAAATTTTAAAACTATTATCTTTTGAAAATATGTAACTCTGGGTGCAATGAATTTCAACATTTTTCTGTCTCTTCAATGAACTGACCTCCAGTAGATTTGACCTCACATAGGACAAGGTCATTCCCAAGGCACAACTTATCACGGGCTAGAAGTATGACGTCCTTGGCGGTACTGCCCATTGGTAGTCGTAGTGTGGTGTATGTATGGTCAGCACAGTACACCTTAAACACATCTGTAATATAAAAATATAGGTTAACATTGTGGTCTCCATAATGTTTACCACTCCCCAACATTTAATTCTATTTATAGCAACAGTGACCTAAATCAAATGAACCTTCTATCATGAGAGAGTAAATTATTCCTTTTTTCAATTTTTTTTGCACTGTCAGTATTTTTAACATTGTAAATCTTTTTATAATGTCAGGATGTGCCTTACTATCATAATTTATAATTTAACTCTACTATTTTAAGAAACAGTAACCTTGACATTGGAACATGTCAAACATTCATTCACATCTATGATTTTTTGATAAGATTATATCACAATGTAAAAATTCTGTTATCTGTAGAAACACAAATTCTGAGATAATTACTGGAAATGAAATTGCAGACTTACAAACAATACCACAATGCTCGGCACACGAATTGTAGATGTACAATTGTAACATCAATGAAGTCTACTAAAAGAAATTAAAATTGACTCTCAAAAGTAACACAATGTGTAGCAGTCAAACAGGAATACATTACTTTCATCGTCCGATTTGATTGGTCGTCGTCTCGTTAATGGCGTATCCGTCATATTCTCTTTAGAAAATCTGCGTGTGAGAATGACAGTCGGAGAAATTCTGCGCTTGCTCGGCTTTTCTACTTGAACAGGACTGTGGAATAACAAAGAACATTCTGTATTGGACAATTTTTTTCAAAAAGTTCTAAACAATGAAATTTTATTTACACAAGTAAATTAGAGAATGTGCAATATTAAAATTAAAAGAAACAACATGAAAAAATTTATATTCATGTAAAGAGATCACAGTGGAGTTTTGATGTCCACTGTTGTATGAGATATTTTGTTCTTTAACAAAAGGATCTTTTCCCCTGTTCACTTTCTATTACAATTGAATCACAAGAAATCGGAAAATTCCTCTGAATTTCTGTTGTTACATACCCTTTGTCACATTTTATGATGTCTTCAAGAGTTGTAAGTTCTTGTAAAAGGGACGGATATTCAGTACAATCAGCCTTCAGGGATTCATGCAGTTTCTGACAACATGAGAAAAATTTCTTGAGTGAAAAACCTAAAGGGACATAACTCTGTCAGAATTGCTGTATATTGTCACTTTTGTAATTACCGAAAATAACAAAACTTGTTTAAATTTGCTCCAGATTGATTTTTCAGCTGTTTTAATTTATATTTGTGTGTTCTGTAAAGTTTTGCTTTTAATATGCAAGTGTTAAAAACAAAATAGAAAGCTGAATTAATTTCATTGAGCTAAGATATTTCATAACCATCATTTTACATATGTATAACACAAGTAATGATTTTAAACTCTTTCTTTTTGTATTACAATATATATATATTACACAAGCTTTTTGATTAACAGTACAACATCAGTTATACTGAGGACAGCTATTGTTGTTGATGGTGCTTTGCTTTTAATCAATTTGCAGAATCTTGTATTGTTGTACACTGTTGATACACTATAAGGTACCCTCAGATTGACTTCATTCACTGATAATTCTACTGATATTGTAGTAGGTGATGCCCTTTTCATCTGCAGTTTATATTTGCCAGATTTGACACATTTTTCCTATCTGATCTTCAACATATATAAGTATAATTCATTTGAACTGAAGGGTAAAGGTCACGCGTTTGTGCAAACCTGAAAACCTTTCATCACAGTATATTTACATTTTGTATGTTGGCCTCCCATCAACTCTGGATTAAATCTGGATTTTACTAGCCAGAGTATAGATGCAGTCTGGACCACAAAACAATAACATGACATCATTTTGGCATCATGTTGATCAATGTTACATCAATGCTTTGCACTTCCCCTCAGATACCATGCAGCATAGCTTTAGGACAAACATTTACCTGATTATGATTTTTGAAAAGGTGTGTAAACTTAAAGTGAAGAAAACAATTTTCAATTAAAAAAAAAGACAGGACACTGTTTAAAATATTATTTGAAATGTAAATATAATGGACGTCTGTCAAATTGTATTTATTGTCAATATGAATGCAATCACGGTGCCAGATAGATAATCAGACTGAAGTTCAATGGTTAAATGCTAATGGCCAAATATTGTGACTCTTGGCTTTTCCGTATTTGAGAAGAGTTATCCCCCCTTTAATTAGTTACATGTAAGAATTCTCTGATAGAGGCATCCTCCTTGAAGCTCTCCGGGGCTATACAGAACCATTCCTGGACAAACTGGACAACACACTTGCGCTGCGTGACTGCATAGTCAACTGAATCCTCTTCGTCAGATTTTTGGTTGACCTTGGCATGGTAGCTGTTTTGAGGTCAAGGTCAATTGGTAAAATTTTACCTACACCAGAAATAATGGAATGGTTATATAATTTTTTTCATGGTCACATACTATTTCTTTCACATATGTAAATAACAATAATTATATGATTCTTGTGACTGTATAAATGAATAAATCCGAGACAATTTGGGATTATGGTTGTGAATTTTTCAAATTCAAGGATACTGGGACAAGAGGGGCGGACACAGCTGCTCACTCGGCATAAATATCACATGTGTTAGTAGGAACACTTCTAGGAAGTTATCTACAACAACAACAAAAAATATGTAACAGTTAGTGAGAGTCAGGTCGGAGGTCATAGGTCAGTCAGGTCAAAGGTCATCATAAATGTAAATATAAATATACAAATGAACAGCCAATGTCAGTAGAAGAAGGAGACAACGTTAAAACAGATCAGATCTGAATCAGCAAATAAAACCACTTAACAGTTACACCAAAATATTGATAAGATTATCTTTATAGAAGATTGTCTTTATAGAAGATGGTCTTTATACAAGATTGTCTTTAAACAACAAAATCTATTTCTTTATCATTCATCGCAATTTTTACATTAAGAGAATACTGCAATTTTGGTTTAAGTGACATGATCATGAAGAAACTGTCTTGTTGGTCCAAACAGAGTTTGTCGTTAAGTACATTACATTTGGATAATACATTTCATCACAGAAGAACTGACACAGACCCTTTGTCTGATGTCAAGTATTGTAGGTTACCTGTGGCCTCTTCTATTTTACTCTCAAGACTGGTCTCCAGCAAATGTTCCAGCATCTTCTCCGGTGTTCCAGCCATCACAGAATATCTACAACACATTTAGTCAAATATTGTTCCTTTAAAAATTCTCACAGAATATTCTAAAATTAGAAAACTTGTTCGTATGAAACAAGAATCCGATTATCATAAGGCATTTATGCATGACATACAAGGAAAATTTTCAGCACATTTGAACATTGAATGGTTTACAATTACTCAATGTTTTTTTTCTGTGAAGTTCAAATGTTAAGCAAAGTCAATACCCTGGACTGTACAAATAACACTCAATATTTATCAGTAGTGTACCCCATCAGGAATTTGGTGTCCACTATTCAATATGGCTTTTATTGGTTGCATTTTCCTCATCTTTTTTTCCACTGATCTTTTTCATCCTTTGGTCGGCCATTTTGTTTTTATATACCATTTCCAAAATTATGCATGCAGCAGAAGGGATCAAAGGATCAGTCTTGTCTTTCTCAAGATAATAGTGATAACAAACTCAGCCTGTCAAAACTGAAAACTGCCACCTGCATTGTCAGTTATTTTGGTTTTCCAATCCATCCCAAAATTGACACATGCATATCTAGACAACAAGGGGATCCTATATATTTATCCTACATATAACAAGCATGAACTTTCACATCCAAGATGGCTGCCTGTTGTTTTAGTTTTCAAATAAAACAAAACTTTATCCTATTCAACAGAACAAAGGTGAATCTTCAAATTAAATTTGGGAAAGGTCCATCTACTGCTTCTGAAGAAATAACAATGATAATCTTTCACTTTTAAAATCAAAGATGGTTTTTTTTCCCCATCTGTCCCAAAATTTATCATACACAATTTGGGACCTAGGGGAGGTCACATATGAAAATTTAAACAGGATTAATGAAGCAATTCTTAGAAAAAAAATAGTTTGGAATTAGGAATTCAATGGTTCAAAATCCAAGATGGTCCCCTGGCAGCCATTAGATGATAGTGGGCTAAACGCAAAAAAAAAAAAAAAAAAGACCTTACCTAGTGTTAAGGTCTGTACGAACTAAGATAAGATTTAACGGTGTAATGTTGCGACAGCACGGTAAAGCAGTACTACCTATAATGGGTCTGTGTTGTGCCGTCAGGTCCCTGACTGTTCATTGGAATCTTCTCCAACACCAACACATCCTTGCCATGTTCCTTTAACCGTACAGTATTCGCCTCCACATCCTGACAATATATATATATATATCTACTGTAATATGTCTACAACATATACTTCTGGGGAAAATAAACCTAGGCACTTCTCTAAAACTTAGAATCAAGGACTTATGAGGCAAATAGGGATATTTTTGTGCTGTGCAATTTTTGTGAAAATCCCAAAAATGTACCGTTTGCAATTTCCACTTGTTTTACTTTTTGCAATTTCATTGTCTCTGATATTTTAAAAGCCTTTTTTGATGACTTTGAATACTTTAGAATGGTCATTTGTGTAGAATTTAACATCAACTGGAGATCTGACAAGTCATAACAGATAACTAAATTAACTAGTATTTATTTATTACAGAAGTGCTCAGCTGCATGCAGGTACATAAGCTCTATAGATTTATTACCCATTTGTTTACAATAAAAAGAACAAAAACAGAGCAATTTTTTTTATTTTGATTATTATGAGTTTTTTATGATTTTGAAAGGGTCACTTAATTCTCAAAAATTAGATATCCGTAAAAAATTCTCGAATTATAGTATTTCCCATCAAAATGATGACTAACAAATATTTCTTTCATTTTCTGAGTAAAGAGAGAAAGTTCTTTTTTCATAAGTTTTACTCACACGCAGAATTCTGTTGAAGTCATCTTTATCTACCCGTAAGAAGTGACAATTATCTTCTCGGAGCACGATGGTTGCCGCTCTGAAATGGTTACAAAGTCATTTAACAGATAATTTTTTTCAGAGAGAGACTGAAACTTTACACTCAAATATTTCAGATTTTGAAATGATTAAAAGAGACATTCAAATGAAAAGGCCTAAGAGACTATAGACTTGGAATTTAAATTTCATATGCCTTAATTAAGATATAACTGAAAGGTTTTTTTTGTAATTTTTTCACATCTTAATGTGTTTTGGTCTTAATAGCAGTAAGCAACTCTTATATAAATTTTGAAAAAATGAAAATATTTTCTGTGTTTATTGGATTTTCTTTAAATTGTTGAATGCCATTTAAACTAAAAAAAATCATCAATATTCTGTCAATTAAATGGCCAGCTGGAAGAGAATAAATAAAACAATTTTTAAAACCCAATAAATTCTAATAAGACAATAATGATACTTTTCCATTTTAATGATTTGTTTAGAAAGGGCCAACGTTCTGGTCCATTCGGTCTGATCCTCCATCTCTCTGCTATTCTAAGTATTTTTTTGTAATGTAATATCCCTCACATGATAATTGTCTGACATTGATGTTAGATTGTGCCGAGTGTTGTGAGAGTGAGGTTGAAAAGTTGAAAGGTCATCTGCCATGGTTACATGTCACATTTAAAGGTTAAATTAATGTATTTCCTACCTTGGTGCGTCATTAAGTAAGGCAAGTTTACCAAAGTCATCTCCTTCATGCAGTGTGCAGACAACACCCTGGAAAATGAAATACAAATCAGATATATTTTACCTATCATTTTTTATCCTTTGCATGTGCCTTACTCACTCACCACCTTGTGTTACAGGAACCTATAAAGATAGTCTGGTTGCAGTTCAGACACCTTGTTGTATGTTTTCCATGATTTCCATGGAAAATCTTTGGCCATTCCATGGAAAATTGTCCATAAAAATTCCATGGATGATTAGGACAAATTATCCATGGACATTACATGGACAGTGTCCATGGACATTTCATGGCCATTGTCCATAAAAAAATTTGTCCAAATTCCAAGAGATGTCTGTGGACAACATCCATGAAATGTCCACGGAAAACGTCTGGAAAATTTGTCCATTGGTCCATCCCTCCTGACCATTTTATAACACCATTTGGATTACTCAGTTACATATTGGCATAAATATGACAAAACGTTACGATAGAAAAACTCAAAGAAAATGAATATCAGCTGTCTTTGATAAGTGCCTCATTTAATTGTAAACACTTTGTCAAAGTCGCTCCGTCTTATGACAAACTCTTTGTCGTCGATGACAACGTCTGTCTATTATCCTTTTATATATAAAACAGGTACCTAATCCTCAGCTGTTATATGTAAACTTACCCTTCCATATATAACAACATTGACGGAGCCCTTTAGGATAATGTACCAGGATTTTCCTTCATCTCCTTGATTGAACACTGAAACAGAAGGATTTCTCAAAGTCAAACATCAGGAAATGACTTCCTTAAATACTGTAAACACTTCATATACCACAATCAAATCTCAGCGCACTATCACTTTTTGGGTTGTTGGATGATGCAGTGGTAAAGCTCATGCCTTTTTTCCAGCCATCCAGGGTGCGATTCCTGGAATAGATGTGAAAAGGTATGGGGGTCACCTTCCTGACCCTGTGGATTTTCCCTGAGTACTTTTGTTTCCTTCTACAGTAAGACCCCTCCCCTGTTTCCATGTGGGCCCATAAAAGTGATTGATATGAATTAGAAAGTTTGTTTTGCAATGGTTGTAAAATAAATACAGTTCATATCTGTATCACTATTTGACAAATCAGTGAAATGATCAGTTTGAGCGAGACTTCTTTAGAAACACAGCCTCGGAAACTACAGCTATAAATCAGGTGCTTGTGAGACACAACTTATAGTGAGGGCATTGTGTAACCTGAAAGAGTTAACATATTTATAACTTTTACCTCACCTTACAACCTTGAATAAATGTCAACAATGCCTAGGTGACAGACAACTTCTACATATAAAACAACACTAAAGCCGAATAGTTTTTTCATTACGAGGCAGAAGCTCTCGCAGTGTATTCTCCTAGCATACTCACGAAAGTTAGAACAGCTCTATACCACAGTATATTTATTTCACCCAACTGAACGAGCTCCAGAGCTCCATCAAAATTCTACCACCGAATGTTATAGTTTATTGGTAGATGTTAAATTTCCAAGGACCTTGAAACATTTGACAGTGTATTTATAGCACCTGTTTGCCAGTTTGACAACAGAATATAAAAACAGCTATCAAAATGTTTATTAACATATAACATACCGGTATATAATTTTTTAATTCTAAATCATTGATAAGTCGGTTGTCTATTTTAAAGGAATTCTTCTGAAGCAAGTAAAGTATTACTTAAAATATCTCCTATCTATTCTCCTATATAAAATGACAAAACATTTCTGAGACTGACTGCTAAACATGCACATATAGAGGGAATTTCAGGGACGTTGTATTTTATTAGTTTAACCACCTATACCAGGTTTGTTTGCTTACAGGAAGACCTCAAGCTGCAGCGTTACTTTGCTTCCTAACATTTAGTTTCACTAAGCTTTTTGCAGTCTATATTTAAATTTGAAGGTCCATCCCCAATCCTATCTTAAATATTATATTAAAAGTGCCAACAAACAGGTTTGTCTAAATAAAAAATAAAACTTGGTAAATCAACTTTACACTGAGAATAATTACACTGAATTTATAATTTACATGAATCCAATCAGACGAAAGGTCCACTGCTCATATCTTTAGAAGATTTGTCTCCATTTTCCTTATTGAGACAAGCGTAACCATACCCTTTATTATTATTTGAAATTTAATCACTTTAACCCAGAGGATATATACACAAAAATTGAAGTCTTTTTAATTAAGACTAATTTTCATGATGTAATACTTTAGTATGCAAATACAGTACCTGCACTCATTGTTGTAGCCCAAAATCAAAAGATTAAAAAAATCTGCCCTCCATACAGTCTCGTGAGCCATTACAACTGAAACATAGAGTGATCCCCCTTCCTCTTCCCTTTATGGTGTTTCTGAGGACTGACATGTTTCAGATTAGCTCTCTCATTCTCTTGCTTTTCAGTCACTCAGTTCATTTCCGAGACTTTCTTCGTGTTCAGTTTGTGTTTTTTACGTCCATCTGCCCTTTATTACTCTTCTGTTTACTTTCTTGCATGCATATTGTTCATCACTTAACCAAAGCCACTTCATACCTGAGTTAGTTTATAATTCCTTTACTCCTTCATGAGAAGTAGATTTTTTAAAAGTCAACAACAGAAAGACATATCAAACGCAACATTGTGTTATATAAGTTGCTAACATTATATCTTCTGTCTAATGTGTTCAAAAAGTGAACAACACCAAATTCCAAATAATTTGTCAAAGTCTCACTGTTTGAAATAACAAAATAGTCAATTCTGGCTTAGAGAGGCTGAGTTTTTAAGATATTCTGAATCACCATGTGTCTAGCTTAGAGGGATTAATGCATGCATGAAAGGTAAACACGACTACCCCAGATGGATTAATTTCCGTAAACCATATACATATGTATATATTGTCCAATATTCAATTAGTAGAAGTACCAGGAGTTCCTAGGGACCAGTAGTAATATTGATAATGCTCCTCCTATCAGAGTCACACATCAGAACTATATTGCCAGAGGTCAGTCATTACCAATGACATTTATGTGCTTCCTGTGTTCCTTATACATGGCTAGGGGCCAAATTAGTGGCTTTAGATCACTAACACTGTGGTCACTTCTGGACAGTATAATAATCTACCCCTGACATCTACCACACATCCGGAGTTCAGCCTCCCTGGGACAAATCTGACCCTGGATGAATCATTTTTATACCTGACATGGTAACCTTTCTCTGACATCACCATAAAGTCCCTACCTCCATCCATCTTTGTTACAGACAACTGTTAAAGCCTCGGAAGGACACTTAACCACTTTGTTATACCAATCCTTAACGCTACAGACAATAGTACCATGTCTGTATCCCTAAGTCATCACTTCCCACCATATTCAGCCTCCGTATCATTTATATCTACACAAACCCTATCGCCAGCAGCAGTTCACTTCACCACTTCACCACTTCACCACGTATCCCGCAGTTCAGGAGATGCTTTATGACCGCCATGGGACAAACTCGAAATTAAAATGACTAGCTCCCTATGCATATTTGATCAATTTCACCACTACACCTTGGTACATTTTATTATGACTTCACCAATTAATTCCGAGCTAAAACGGTCGGTGTTAATTGAAATTTCCAACAGTAATAATCGTTTTCTGTTGTTCGCAGGATCAGCATTTTCAATGATTTTTTTTTTGTCCAATAACTGCCAAGTAGCATTATGTACGTCTAAAACGGGCGAGAACCTTCAGAAATATCCAAGCACTTGATTAAATTTTCGGCAAGTTTATCTTGCAGTTGTGAGCAGTTAATTCAGAGAAATTCGGCCGAAACTCTGTTTTAAATCACACATATTGTTCATGTTTCTCAAATATATCAAAATTAAGGCAATATTATCAACACTTTTGCTTCGTTCCATACTCAAGGAGTCATTTCACTCTCCCAACGTTTAACAGTAACAGGAGAAGGCCTCGCTAAAACCAAGACAGAAATCATTAACTGAGAGAAGCTAAAGTGATTGAAACATTAAGATCGGTTTTTATACCCACTCTGTTGAACAATCACTGGTAATTAGGAAGCAATACTGATTTTGAAGAGACCCACCATTAAAATAGCATCTCGGATGACAGTACATAAAACACAACCCAACAGGTTTGCTGTTTCCACAAACTTGCTCATGTTCAGCGTGATTTGATTAGAAGATTCATTATACTCGGAAATTTTTACGTAGTCAAATGACAAATTTTTTTTTTTTTTTTTATTTTTGGGGGAGGGGAGGGGAAGGGAGGGAAAATTAAGTAAATTTAAAATGGGTTATGGAATTCATTCATTAATCCCTAAAACATTGTTCTAAATAGCTGTTGACATGTGATTGCTGCAAATTACTTTGTATATCAATTGAAGTTGATCATTCATGCATCAATAAGTACATATTGTATAAGTTTTGATGGTAACATTGTTTTTCATGCTGGTATCAAAGAAAAACCTATCTGCAAACTGAAAGAATATGTGTAGTGCATTCATGAGAAATTTTGCGAAAAAATTTTTCATCTTTTTTAGGAAAAAACATACAAATGGAACCCACACAAAACATAACGAAATTTACAGAAGTACATTATGCCATATTAGTGCTATTTGGTGTCAATGTGGCTATGCTGCTTTTTCTGGTATGTAAGATTAATATATAGCACACATCCTGAAGCTTCTGTGTTCATCATCATTAAAAATACACACATCAATTTTGATATTTCCAATTTTGAGTGAGCCAAGTCTCACAAGGAAGGCCATGTTGGTTTCCTTCTCTGCTCACAATTGCTGTCCTTTTCCTCTGCTGATTGATAATCTGTGTCATGCAAGTGAAGTCGTCAATACACAAAGTCTGCATATTACTTGTTGCAATTTGAAGGAAACATTTGTCATTCTTTGTAAATTTCTTCACAGACAGAAAAAGACAAGAATAGTTGAAGCCTAACCATTACATCACATCCCCTCTTGTTTATCATCATTCAATGGGAGTGAAACTGCAAGTAAAAATGATCAACGGATATATTACATGCACACAGCAACCCATTGTAGTGATATTATCACATGTAGGAAATCTCAGCAGGGCCACAATAGCTAAGTCAGTGAAAGTGTTAGCCTATGTATTGGATTCAGGTGAAGATCTGAGATGAGTGTCTCCCTGCATATGGTGTTATGTGTCTCCTTGAGAGCTGAGAAACAGACCAGTCTGAGCTGATGTGATTGTGTCCCTGTACAAGACACTTCACTTAACTGCTCAGGACAGCATGTGATGGGCCTCCCATATTTGATTCAGTGGGGTAGCCACCACTTACAACAAGGAGACCAGGCCTCAAAATGACCCTGGCTGTACAAAGGACCAGAAACCCACCAAACAAACAAACTGATATTTCAAAAGAATGACTTGATAGTAAATTATATACCAGGTAATGATATCAATGAAAAGGGGGAAAACTCACAAGGAAATTGGTATGAAATGAAAAACAAATCACAGTAGTGCATGTTTAACACCAAACAACTGATCAACTGAACAAACTAAAATGTCTGGAAGAACACTGCGTGGTTCTTAACATTCCCTCTCAAATCGGTATCAATGTTTACCAAATTTCTATAAACATTGACCCTGACCTTTGAACCCCGAAATGTGAACTCATTTGAATTATTGTCACACAAAGTACAGCACTTTGGCCTCAATTAATGGTCTTCATTTCTTAATTAATGATTTTAATCACAGCATTAGATTTACACTGTACTGATTCACGAAGGAAACAAATCAGGACAAATTTTGTCTACAAATAGCCATCAACTTCCAGATCCCATAACCTACCTCCCAGTATAACTGTAGACTATAGTGATACTAAAAACACTATACAAAAGAAACCACAACGTCTTAGGTTCAAAAGGTCAAGAAAAACACCTGTAAATCAAACATGTGTCACTCATCCATCAATGACCATGTTTAATAGTTAGTAACAGGGGTAAGCTCAATGTGGTTTCCGTTCAATCTTAATTTTCAAACAAATTCAGAAATATTTACAAATATTAGAAAAAAAAAATCTACCACAATCATGCTACACAATAGGTTATATTTGTGTCAATGCCGATTTACATAATTACTCTGAATTTAAAATCTGAAAGAGAATGGGGTTCATGTGTTATTGTTTAAATCAAAGGTTTTGAAAGTACATGTTATTTCAATATTATACACGTACAACTTGTTTGGTTGCCACAGAACCTAACAGAGAACAAGTACAGAGTTAATAGATCAAGCAGCTAATTAACTCGGACTGATTGCTATAACACGTTCTTCAAATCTAATTTGGTAAAAAAAAGAAAAAAAATAGAAATGGTGGCCTTTACACTAATTGATATTTTTGTACCTTGCGCTTGTCAGTGGATTTAAAGTTCACGGAATCATAATCAATAACCCCTTTCTTGAAACAGCTTCATACTTTTATCAACCTACAGATAAATACTGTTTCAAGATCAACATTATTTATAAATACACATTACATTTAAAGATATATTTTTACTTAAATTTGGGAAACACTTCATAAACATTTGGGAACTTTCCTGCATATAACACAGACTGTAATTGCACTTAAAGCGAACAAATGTGTGACCTTGACCTTTGACTGTTTCAAGTTAAAAGGTTTTAGAGTAATTGATTAAGTAAATGATATTTATGTTAAATTTCGTTCACATACCAGAAGTCAACTCAAGTGTGCTAAGAAATGAAACCAAGTGATCTGAATTGTGCAGACAAAGAAGGTGACAGAAATAGTAATTGTACTCAAAAAAAGGCATAAATTGTTAAAAAAAAAGGGGGGGATGTAGAGAACCAGGTCAATGTAACACAGCATTGACAGACTGCAGTTTCAATAAGTCAAATACAAACAGAAAAAAAAATCTTTGAAGAAGTGTGGCACTGACAGTTATACAACTATATGAACCATCTGAGCACAGCTAACCAGGTCAGACATGCTGTGTTACTCCAGCACGGCCAGCTCCACATTTCACAAAAGCCTTTTCAGGTCATCAATAACTCTGACCATCAACCAGAGTCTGAGGCTGTCAGTTTGTCAAGAATTGTGTCTGGCCTGTAAAAATGTTGCTTTTTTTAATTATAGTCAGCTTAAATCCAGACGTGACCAACGTTTTTGGGGGGTCTTAATGATAGCAAGCTTGAGGCTGTGAAAGTCCCCTTATCAGGTATAATTTATACAAATAGACTTGATCTATTTTATAACAATTGCTAAACAAGTTTTTCCAACTTAAATTAATCACTCTTGTTTGCCTGGATGGGAATTGTGTGAGGAGTCTTAATGTGGTAAGAAAACCAGTGTCCCCATGGAAAAACCCATATGATAAAGGGCAGGTACCTTTTCACATCTGTTCTGGGAATCAAACCACAGACATCTACGTGACAGGTAAATGCTTTACCACTGTGCCATCCAACCTCCAAGGTACATTTGTAACATAAAAGCTGGTCTCTCACCTGATGGTTGACATGTAACAGTAAGTTTCTATCTTATTTTCAGTTACCACTTTGTCACTAAAACCTGAACCCTTCTTTTTTACCAACTGCAGCATCCATTTTTGTAGATGTATGTACCAGTGGTGAGTGTTTTAATCATTGCTCCATATACAAATTCTAAAATCTAATTATCCTTGCACTGGGGCTTCTAATGTTATATAAATCAAATCAACCATGACACATAACCTCGTTAAATCTGTGCACAGGGACCAAAAATATACAAAGCTGATGACGGTTGAAAAAGGAGGTTTGTATAAACATCAGCGTTATACCACATGTTGTAACACTTAAACATGTTTTGATTGGTTGACAGGATGAACTATGACCTAAAGGGTGCTTCACACACTCAATGAAATTAAAAAAACACACCGTAAGTTGTTCGTTATTGTTTTTGTAATAATATGATTTTATTTCATTTTGATTTTTCTGGGTTTTTTTTCGTTAAGGTTATATCATTATCCGCTAAATGGTGACATAAACAAAACACACATGGGTACACATCGACTCCATGTGACAAAAAGATTTTTTAGTGGGGTGAAAAACAGTCACACAAACTGTGGTTGTGGTATATAGCATTTCTTTTACTCTCACTAAATCTAGTTTTTCCGAAACTTTTAAAAAATACCTATCTCAAGTAAAAATTAAAAATCACATACCACAATCAATTGTTTTGTAACCTCTCTATATCCCAGTACATTGCATTCTACCCCAGCACCAATCTGGCAGTTCATTAAACTTATCACTTTTATTTAAAATGAAGACTTTTCAGGTAAACATCTGTAATACTCACAAGCTGTGCCTGACTTGGTGTGGGACTCAAAGATGAGCACACTAGCAAGTTCTCTCTTGACCATTGTGGATAGGTGAGATAAGGCCTTTATATGTAGGAGCTCTTCATAAATGATTTCCAGATCCTCTGTGGAACGGTCATGTGGTCTGAAAACAGCCAATCAAATCACGTTATACAAAAGACAATTTTATGCAATCTTTATGCATAGTTAGAAGATGGATTGCATGTATATCGAGCCAACCTGCATCAAAGAGTGAAACGTTAAAATTTAAGTGATGTGATCTGCAAACTACCTACAACAAAAACAAATATATCTACCACCTCCTAGACAATATCACTTACTCTACACTAATTTCCACAGAATCACGTGATACGTAAACATCTAACTAATCATAAATGAAATTTCTTAAAGACAAAACAATCCAGAACTAATCTCAGTACATTTACATAAAGTGTTATTTTAGTGCGTTTATAAAGAATCATATTCATTCTTCTGGCTTGTCGGGTGCATGGTGCAGTGGTAACACACTCACTTTCCATCTAGCCTATGTTTGATTCCCAGAATGGAAATGAAAAGATAGGAAGTCACGTACATGTTCGACTATGTGGGTTTCCACCGGGTACTCCAGTTTCCACCCAAAGTAAAGACCCCTCATGTGCTTACATCCAGGCCAACAAGAATAATTAGTAAAAATTGCTGCAACCCGTTTTGCCATTGTTGTGAAATAATCAAGGTCTATATAACTCATTCTTCTCTTATTTCAGAAATCTAAATTATATATGTATAACATGTTTCTGATTCTCCTGATAAATGCTAGATCCAACAGCCAGCTACCTATTCTAGATCTCATATTTATGTACATGTAGAACGTGACTATTATAGAAATCCAAAGAAAAACAGAATTCTAAGAAGGTGTTATCCTGGACAGATTTGTAAGTATGAAATGTGAATATTTTCAAACTTTTAACTGCATCAAACAGGCACAATGTGTACTGAATGAACTGCGCTAATTTTTCTTGGAATTAAGGAACACCAAACGTTCCACGACTTCAAAGGAGATCTCATGAAACACAGAAGACACCATACTAAATGTCACCGTAAAGACCATCAAGACCATTAAAGACCAAATGGAAACTTTTATCAAATAATACATAGCTGATACCAGCATTGCGTTAGATTTTTTCGAATTCTTAAAACGCTGAAAATTAAACATGACAAATCTTTAAAGGTTAAACCTCCTACACATATAATTATGCTGTGTGTTAAGGTTATAACGGTACTGTATCATGTTTTACCTTAAGACCAAGAAGAGTTCGAATTCAGAACTAAATGAAATTCAAATAACATTTTTTTTTATGCTCGTTTGACAAGGAAGAAAGATCTTGTTGTTTTTTTTTTGGTAGAATTATTCCCCTTTGGTGTGAAATCTTTCAATCAGATATGCATTATTCACAATTTCCATATCGTAACATTGAGTGAAGTTAGTAGAAATGAACATCTGTTTGACCCCTGAAATTTCCAAAAATTTTTCACAGGGTATTTAAATTTAGTTTTTATATTCTTTTAAAATACTACAACCTACAGTACATTTTTATTCAGTAAGCTAGGTCTGAGGACCTACCATATTTATTTTATTATAATTATGACTTCAAATGCATATTAGAGAGCTTGGTACCTGAGGTTGTTTAAGCATATAAATTCTAATAAATAGATATTTTGAACATATAAGTAATAATCGTTTCATCAATGTATACATTATCATATATAGATAAAACAGGACGTGAGTCATACTCATCTACAAACACCTGATGTAATAAATTTGTGGTAGATATTAGCTAAAATTAATGGCTACAATATGTTGCCACAGTCACTGATATCGCAGCATATCTACACATATAGACTTTATTAAATACACAAACTCGTCAACGTACGATTGGTATAAATAATCTTTTATCCATCTATTCATCCTTCGGTTTGAAACAGTTTACTCTCGTTGCGAGAATTCGTAATTAAATCTGTTAAACCCTGATTACAGTCTCAGTCACTCAGAAGTTTAACTTTACTCTGGCGACAAAACTCGGCTTTCAATTAAATCATTCACACGTCGTGTGATTAAATCTCCACTGAATTGTCACCAAGATATCTTTTTCTTAAAGCCATTCCAGAAACTGCTGGCAACTTAAACAACACAGAACCTGGACTTCCTAATCAAATACATCAACAATGATGTGGAAAAAAAAAACATACAATTCACGCTGTCTTCATTTCATTCCACCTAAATTTTTTTTTAAATATACTTTGTACTATTAACATCTTTTTCCAAGCATGTTCCTGTCATTAATATTTGTCAGAAACATTTTGTTTAATTAAATAATCAAAGCTACTGACAAGGACAGAAGATATTGAAAATATTTTCACTAAAGGAATAACTGCAATAGGTCTTCTCCATGTCCATATTGAATTATACATGTACAGGCCAACTGATACTAATCTCTCAGAATCAACAGAAGTGTTACAGCTTCAGATAAATCTGCCCCAGATTCACGACAGATATTTAAAATCCTCAGAAGCATCACTGGAAAGATTCTTTCCGACATCAGTTTCTGGTGAAGCTAAAGACTCTACCAGAGTTAAACATTAAGAACATTTTCTAGCAGTCTTATTGCAGAGAATCTCAGTTTCCTATGTTGTAGTGGTGTTGGTTCATAATAAATCTATTGCTGGTTTGTTTATCCATGAGCATGGATTTCGGGTAATTGCTAAAGTGATGTCATTGTCCATGTCAATTTTTTACTGAGTATCATGAAATTTTAAATATTAAAAAAAAAATGAATTTCTGTGGGAAAGTTTATCAACAATGACAAAATGACACTCTTACATTGATAACCTTCTAAAATTTAATCTTAAGTCAAGCTGAGTTAAGACGAGAAATATCACAAAAGTCACGTACACATGATCATAACGCACTTACTACAGTAGTTATCTCCGAGGTAAAGTCCCTCTGGCCATGAATTTTAGGGCAACAGTAGAAAGAATACCAAAAATTTTCACTGAAAGGCCAATAAACTGCAGCCACGACATGGAAATTCACGACGGAATAACCAAGATTGATTAAATTGATTACACTGCTGAATATCTAATTTAATTTAATCATTGATTAAGAGAATGGAACTGCTTAATAAAACCAAATTCATGAATATTACAAATTTAATCAGAAAGTGAATCACATCACCATATACCTGAAACCATTTGATGTGATGACAAATCTTTAATTTGTTTTGTTGGGTTTTTTTTTCATATCCGAGGTAAACATCGGGACTAAGATACCCACCACACAAGCATTTTTTCCCTCCAATTTAAGTCATTGGCCAAGAGTGACCTTCGAACTTTAATCTCGACCAATGACTACCAAAAATTAAAGGTGTACAACTAGGTGGGGTGATGTATGGTTTGTGAAAATGAACTAAATTTGTTAATGGGTTTGTGAGATCTGTTGTAAACAGATGCAATGACATATACAGGCATCTGGCCCCACTTGTTTAAAACATCTCAACTTGAAATTTCCTCAAGTCGAGATCTTCCTCAGCTGATATCTCCTCAAAAACAGCTTGTATAAAATTTTCTCAAGGAACAGGAGGAAGTCATCGGCTAGGATGTCCTGAAATTCCTTGAGGAATTTTCATACAAGATATTTTCAAGGAGATATTAGCTGAGGAAAATCTGGGCTTGAGGAAATCTCAAGTTGAGATGTTTTATACAAGTGGGGCCAGGTGATTAATCAATATCTATACAACCCCGCCTTCATCTGTAACAGAGGAAAATGAGGAAAAATGAAAAAGTGGGGGTTTTATTCATGATATAGACTTTGTATATTTATAGGTACAATATAAACTGCCTGTGTATCTGACACACCCACGTCTAATAAAAATGTCACTTTCATTTCCTGGTCTAGCAGCGTTTGTATACACCTCCGTACAATAACAACAATTAAGACTGTAAAATAAAACAACAAAAGTGTCGGGGACTCTCAGAGATCATGTATGATGTGTATTGAAATTAGGGAATGGAGGAAGTGGTATATCAGAATGGAGTGGTATATGATCATTATTGAATGGTCACACTGATATGTATATATAAAGGTTCAAGACATGATAACATCTTCGTATCATCATTTTCAGTGGATGAGTGTGATTGGAGAGGTAATAACTGATCATACCCAGTTTAGTGTGAGTCTGACATTTGCACATTCTGCAGTATAATACACAGTTATAGGCCACTGAAGGTTTTTTTCTTCCAAACAGGAAAGAAACTTAATAATATCTGCATGAATAAGTAACAAGTTGTCATCGAAAACACAACATCTTAAAACAAATTTTCATTTTTATCTTCAGTAAAACTCCCATTTCTAATAACCTGTGTTCCTTGAAATTTTATGTACATTCCTTGAACTCATTTTTATCCTGGTCTCTTTATGTTCATATTATTTTCTGCATTATTTGTGTCACGTTTGTCAAAATTTAACCGTATCACACACGACTGATCTAACTTCAGGGTAGCGGTTCTGATCAGTCCTGTGTGTTAATACAGATGCAGGACAGGAGATAATTACAGAATTAACGATGGTATGGCTACATACCTGTACTGCCATCTGTTTTATAATTTTATTGTTTTATTCTAGTAAATTTTGTTTTTATTCAAGTAAAAATCAACCGTGATCAAAACAGCGAGTTTGTAAATCAAATGCAGCCTACCGGGAGGAAAGGCGTGAATAAAAACAATTTTCTATATTATGTTTAACAGTTTGTCGATTGTTTGAGTGGAGGATGTTAATAACAAATTAATCACAAGTAATTTATTCACACTCACCCTCAAGTACATTTAGGTCAAGAATGACAGATATGTTATATTCGGCCTCACAACAGTTTCAAAGTTTTTCTCGTGATTTGATGACTGTACGTATCAATTATTCAACAGTTTTCATTTCCCACCTACATTAAGCCAAGGACAAATAATTCTGTCCTTGATCACAGAAAGATTAAGACACCATCACTCATAATTACCGGCTTTCTGCAGAATATAGGCCGGTGCTATGTTTTATCATTTCTATATTTCTCTCAGCTGACATTTTAGACAAATTGGAGTTAC